GGGAGTTGGTCTGCTGGAGAGAACAGTTTGCCTCTCCCGGTAGACGCTAAAGTTTAGCCTCTACCAGGCTTCGGGAAGCGGCTGGAAAGAGTAGAAATTTGCCAAATAGAGAGATAACATGTCGAGGGAGTTGGTCCACTAGAAAGTGGTTCAGCTCGGGTGCGGCAAACTACTATTTCCAGCCGCCTCCCGATGCCTGGTAGAGGCTAGACAATTTCATAGAAACTGATTATGTTCGTTCGTCATTGTCGACGATCACGCATCACATAAAGTACATATTATATATAGTGCAGTTCTGTTGGATTTTAAAAAGTCCTATTTGTTACTTTAACGAGAAAAAAACAACAACATTACAACGAATGAAGATTCTTGTAATAGACATGGCTCTTTTAAGTTTCTCTGTAAATTCTCCCTTTTTTCTCACAATTGCAATTGTCAGGTGGATAGATGTCTTCACAAAAAAAAAAGTGTTACTTGTAACAAAAGTAAGATACAACTTCCTTGCTGATGCAGTATAGGACACTTCGGTTACTAGTATATGCCTTGGGGATGCAAGTTTTGTTTTAGTTTTAGAAGTTTAACACATTCGCTTTGCAATTGTCGCTTTTCTGACCAAAACGACCGAGAGAGCACAATTCTACCCCCAAAAAAGGCTGGCATTCGAATTAGGCCACAGCAAGTAATTCTTATAGATGACATCCTCCGCAGACTCCAAATCTAATGCGAGCGGGCGAAAAAAAAACAAGGCGAGTCGAAAAAACAAGGTTCCTACATTTAAAAAATTTTGAATCAATCATTGTACAAATGGTTTTGATTCAGTAGGAACATTACATATACACAGCCAACATCACATATCACTGCATCAAAGTATGAAACAAAACATTAAATCATAGCATTTTTTTGTCTCCTCTCTTTATAGTTATCTGCCATTCACCTTCCGGCATATGACAACAGACATCTTCGCCCATTTTCGGCATGTTGACCACAGTCAGAAGGCGACAAAATTTCTTTTTTTTTTTTTTCAAAATCAGGCGAAAATTAATGCGCGCGCTGATGTCATCCATAAAAATTACTTGCTGTGGCCTTATCTTCATCTGAGACATAAGATTTAGGAGAAGCCAAGTTCGCAGACTCTTTGTAGTGTAATAACTATGTCAAGGACATCCGGTGGTTAATAATAATATTTTCTCGGGTTATTTTTAACACTGGGATCAACAAAGCCTGTCATTGGTCGGTGATGTGTGCGTCATGCTGACGTCATGAATTGTCTCGGCGTTGGCGATTGGCCAGTTTGTGTTTGGTGATTATACGGAAAAGCGTGCAGTGTGAAATTATTGGATTAAAAGTTGTGCGCCTGTGCTTCATCTGGTTGACAGTTTCTTGCGCGTAATTTCAAGGTGGATTTTTAGAGTTATTTCTGCGAATCCGGTCTTGTCGCTAAGTGCCGAGAAATATACACTTTGGGCATTTTGAACATGTGTCGACAGTGACACAGCATAAAATTTCTCAATTATTTACTAGTAACTTAAAAGTATTGTAGATCTACTTAAATATCAAAACTATTTATGTAGAACTTTTGAATGTTCTGTTCTATGAGGCCATACAATCTACAAATTTAAAAAAAGAACAAAAAAAACTCTCAGCAAATGTATACAATAAAGATTTAATAAGAGAAAAACCTGATGAGTGCAACCAAGAAGGTTATTACGTTATAGAAGACTAAGACCATCACAAAAATTTTGCGGAGGCTAACGTTGTCTTTGGCGCCCTTGAATAAAAAACAAACAAACAAAAAAACAAACAAAAAACAGAGGTATTCAACGGCGGGACAGCCAAAGAGACCCTTCTACATTCAGTATTACAGCTACTCCTTGATTTGCATCAGTATTCATGCCCGTAGCCAGGATTTTGAATGGGGGGGGGGGTTCTTCCCACTGCTTGAGGGGACCTCGAGCGCCGTAGGGGCGAGGTTCCTAGGAGGGTCCGGGGGGCATGCGCATGCTTCCCCGGAAAATTTTGAAAAATGAACCTTCTAAAATGGCATTTTGTGCATTTTTTAGAGGATTTCCAACAAAAAAATCAGAGATGAATTTTTATTCAATGACAAAGGGAGCAGTTTTTCTATGATTCCAGT